AAATCATTACTAATCAATGCTCTGCTTCTTAACGCAGATGCAACAGTATGGCTAAAAACTTGAGCGCACTTACTAACTTTCATTTTATTAATATTTTTAGCCATAACATGTTCATCCGTTAATTTAAAACATTGATTGTAATGAAGGCCAAATCTTTTATCCAAATGGTAAAAGTCTACAATATGCTCCCAAGATGCTATTTTTTTAATACCATTTTCGGTAAAATGTAAATCTTTCGTGAGCAAATTATTCCGGATACCTTTTAGAAGATGAGGACCATCATATAAATGAATGATTTCCTCATCATCTATAAGATATCCTTGATATCTGTTTTCCAAATTATTTTTAATGCAAATTTCATTAGTTTCTTTTAAGAAGTAACTAATCGCGGCTGTATTAGTAACACCTTGGTCACATATTGTACACACCACACACAGTCCTGTTTGTCTAATACGTCTAATGACATCTTTCATTATACGTATTAGATCTGGAGTACTGGTGCAATTTTCAACAAAATAAAAGCAAACTACTTGCTTCCATTTTCTGTGAATACCTTTTACCATGAATAACAAGGCATGATTGGCAAATTTAGGTTTTCTGTTTAACTCACCCATGTCTACAAAACCATCAATACAATCTAAGGTGCTATTATACTGTAGGCCAGTACTTAATGACACTTCGTCAAACATTAAAAAGCAATATTTATCTGAATCATTCTGCATATTATCTACAGATTGTTTTAGATGTACAAAAATAGATTCATTAATGCCAGACCTAAAAGGAAAGTATCCTTACAGTTTTTGTAGCGTCTTCCTGGATGGTAATGAAAAGAAATTTGATAAGAAACGGTATCCTTTGCCACTTTGTTTATAAATGGAAAGAGCCAACACCTTATCATCTAATGTAAATCTTCGCCCGCGTGGTTCTTTTTTTTAATTTCGGCACTGGCTGCTAAAGAAATTTATGGTTCTACGTTCAAGTTTTTGAGGTTTACCAATAACTGAGGATTTTTCCTCAATTGTATCAGCTGTTGCCTTGTTGTTTTGGCATTTTTTTTCGCGCGATACAACGCTTTTTTTTTATCCTAGCAGTGTTACAATTGCTGCATTTTTTTGTAACAGGTAATTTCCTCCGTTTCTTATCTACAAAAATTAAGGATAGTTTTAAATAAGAATGATTATAAGAATTATTCAGTTTTATGATATTTACCAATTATTTCTTTTTCATCGCTTGGGTGAAGCCGTTTCCTATTCATTTCTAATGAAATAACAGAATTTTCCTCACAAAATGAGGTTGAAGCAACTTCACCTTGTTGTTTACTACATCCAGGATAGACACGCAGAACTCGTAACCGAGTAACACCAGGAAGTTTTTCGGGGCTATTTAAGACACTTTTTTGTTCCTGGATAGGTTCTATCAAATATAAACATATATATAATAATAAATATGGTATATATTGAATTATATAATTATGAATCGTGAAACTAAATAATTAATTTTATATCATACAACATACCTGAAATATCTTCTGTTCGTTGATCTTGCGAAGACAAAAAGCAATTCTGTATAGGTTGTTCATATAAATCTAAATGATATAAAATATATATATAGATTAAAAAACAAACTTTTTATGTAAAATTTCAATTACCTCGTAAGTGTAATGTAGGTAATGCGCGCTTTTTCAATTTTTTCCCAACATATTTGCACATTGGTGCAAAATGTTTGGAGCAAACACAATAATTGCTTAAACGCTTCTCATTAGTTAATGCAAATAATTTTAAATTATTTATTCGAGAAAGCCAAGCCTTCCGAATAATACGATCGGTGGTAAAATAATATCTAGAAATACAGGAATGAAAGTAATTACGCCGTATTAATTAATAATTTTTATAATTTACCTTTTATGGTCTTTATCATCGCAAGATGGTACGCAACAAGGTTTAATAAAAGACATAAGTTAAATAATAAAAATATTTAAAAAATTTAAAACGTTTTGTTTTCAACTTACAAATGAAATTAATTAGGTATAAATTATATAATAACACTTATTAAAATTGAAGTGTAAATCTTTACTGTGTATGGTGTATTTGATATCACTTATGTTCTTGACTTATGTGATTCTGACTTAATCAGTCAAAGTCATCAAAGTAGTCAATGAAACATAAGCCACCTTAAAGGTAGTTTAAATTTGAATTTGTGTAGAATTAGTTATCAACGGTGACATCGGATGGCGCTGACGACGCCGACGGTTACAATTTTCGTCCATTAGAGATTCCCCCCCCATGAATCCAATCGCTAACTCACCAGCGATCCCACTCGCGAACTCACCCGCGAAATCAATCGCTAACTCACCAGCGAATTCAATCAATTCAATAATTAACCCAACAACCAATACAACACTTAACCCAACAGTCGATTCAATATCAATCATCAATACATTAATGCAATAACTTGCTCAACAAATGATACAACATATCGTCTTGCCTATATCGTGTGCCCGTCTAACATATCGCCCGATATCATTTTCATTGCAGTCATCCTCATCCATCAATGAATCAGGATTCGGTGCCAGAGCCAGATATCTAGAGGAACTTGGTCTAGGTAGTTCCTGCTGCTCAATATAACCTGTTGTGGTTATGGTGACCGATGAAGACACATGTGATATTGTCGTTACTTTGTCCTGTTCATCGCTGTTCGACGCACATCGGGCGTATTGTACAGACCTTTGTGGAAGAGCACCGTATACGAATGCTTCTTAGGCCAGCTCGTTTTCCGGATCTGAATCAAATCGAACATGTTTGGGACATGACTGGTCGGAGACTTCAACGTTATCCGGCTTCCCCGGCTAACGTTGAGGAGCTATGGAGGCTAGTTGAGGTGGCATGGTTGGCCATCCCTCTCGCTACAATACAGCGACTTATAGACTCCATACCACGTCGTGTAGCGATGATACGCGAAGTTCACGGGGGATACTCTCGCTATTGATGTTTCATCTCCCAGCAGAGTTGTGCCGCTCTCCATGTGAGAGTAAGTTACAATACATTAGTACTACTTCCATACCAAATTTTATTCCGCTATACACACGCGTTCAGATTATACAGGGTGTGCTCGTGAATTATTTCCAACAGTGTAGTTACCCAACCGGTCGAGTTGGGTTGCTCTAGCTCGTGCTGCCTCTAACGGCAAACGAGAAAAACATCATTTATGAATGAATTGAATAAAATTGGAAATTCGACTTGTAGTATAAGTTGCATACTCTGAATAAAAAGTTAATTGAATTTATGTGATTGAACACGGAATTGTTTACAATATAAAATATTTAATTGCATTAAACATTACATCTAAATATTTAAAAAAATATATTTGTCCTTTTTTTATAACAGAGAACCAAAAATTGAGTTGCTAATTAAAAAATTCAATTAAGATTCTTGTTATAATTAAAAAAAAAAAATTTTCGATTTAAATTGTTGAAGAACTACAAAAGGTGAGTTTTGATTTTAGTTCGTCCTATTGCAGACTTATTCCAGACGTGGTAGCGTCGAGCGTTCCTTTGAGCAATTGGCCGACCGACAGTTTAATGGGGTCACACATATTAAACGAGTAGTTAGTATAAACAAAGTTTTTTGAAACTACTCAAGTTTGGATAAACGACTTTGCGTATACAAATTCGTTCTTTATTATTTCGTCATTGAGAATTCTTTGGTTAAAATATAAATACGAAAATTAAGAAATATTTATTAGAATCAATTTATTTCTAATTTTATTATAACATTCATGAACATTTTTAAGGGGGACTTTATTGTGTTAACTGAATATAATGAAAATCATGAATAATAACAAAAAACATAACAAATCCCGCTAATTACTTATAATTACAAATTACTTATGTTGTAAAATAGTAACTTTATTGGTTCTACCACGGCTTTTAAAGTTTTGCGAAACTTTTTTACATTCTTTGTATATTAATGTTCTAATTAATAAATGAAGCATAACATTTGATGGCCTTCACAAACAGAAAACCAGTCGGGGTACTTTTTAATAATTTTATATCTAATTTTTCTCTCTAAAAATTTAAATAAACATCGTTTACTCATTGACATTTTTATATGTTTCGCAAACGCGTTCATACTTAATTTGATTACAGTTCTTTGCAAATCGGATGGCATTTTAAGTGCAGTGGGATTGTTAATGTTATAGTTTTTATAAAAAATTAAAATGTCATTATTATATGTTAGTTCACCTTCTGTCAATAATTCACGGCACATTTCACATGAAAATTTATCAACACACTTTTTGATAATGTATCTTACAAAATATATTGTAGCACAATCTTCTAAACAGGTCTGTTGCACAACATCTTCATCATCGCTGTCAGTACTTCTCATCGATGATGTGCTTAAAGAAGTTGATGACTCCGAAAAATTAAGTTTTGTCTGCACATTTAAGACGGCTTCAGAAGTAACTTCATAATTTCCCGTCTTTGGTGGCTTTAAAAGGTTCCATACAAAGTTTATCCTCCACGCTGTCTATATATAGAAAGTTGGTTTTCAAGAATATCCTGATTTAGGTTTGAGGTTAGGATAATGATAGCCTTTTTTTGTTGTTGATACAACCCTATCATCGAATTGATGGTAAGTGGTATGCCATCAAAACATGGTGGTCTTTTAAAGGTGCCCATCTTGGAAACTCTTTTGATGTTTTCCATCACTTCGGTCGCTCTTCTTAGGGCATCAAATCCGAAAAAGTTCTGCTCCGATAGAGCAGCACAACTTTTCTTTTTAGTTCTAATTTGTTTGCTATTTGTTTAGGTTAGGACGTCTGAATAACACCACTGGTTTAGCGTGACTTCCGTTTATTATAAACTCTCGTTGTGCTCTCACATGCATGCACATTGGGTTGCATACATGCTACATCCCCTTTTCTTTATAAGGTACAAATATTTTATCTTAAACGCTATACAATTTATAAAATAAAACAATTATTGTTTACAAATTTTCTGCTTAACCTACTATAAAGTCTTCATATCTTTTTGGTAACTTTTTGATTCTTTTCCCTCTACCAAGTTCACCTAAGTCTTGAATTTCCTCTTTCACTTCCTGTTTAATAACTTCCTCGTTTGGTAATTTCATTAAATGTTTTCTATTTCTTCTTATGTCTCCCTTTTCTGTCTCCACCATGTACGATCTCGGTTCCATTGTTTTCTCCTTTACCACTCCTTCCCTTTTCATATTCGTTATCCAAACTCTTTCTCCCACTTTTAGTGGTTCATTCGATTTAACTCTATGTCTCCGATTGTACTGTTTCCTCTGTTTCTCTTTTTCGATTTCAAATTTCTGTTTTACTTCATTATGATTTGGTGATTTCGGTTTTAATTTTGATTCTAATATTGGTAGACAGTCCCGTAATTTCCTTCCAAATAATAATTCTGCTGGTGATTGACCGCACTTTAGTGGTGAGTTTCTATAAATTAACAAAGCCATGTGTGGGTCTTCATTTAAACGAAAAACTTTCTTTACTATTTTAACAGCACTTTCGGCTTGCCCATTGGTATTCGGGGCTACTGGTTGTCCATTCGAATCCGTACTCCTTTGTAAACTGTCGAAACTCGTAGCTGTCAAATTGTCTTCCGTTATCCGTTCGTACCTGGATAGGAATACCGTGATGGGACATAATATCCTTGAAACAAGTGATTACAGTTTTGCTAGTCATATTCTTGAGTTTTCTTACTTCAGGGTATTTTGAATAGTAATCTTGCACTACAAGGTAGTTTCTGTTTTTAAATGTGGCTATATCTGCACCCAAAATTTCCCACGGTCTTTTAGGTATTGTACTTGTTATCATTGGTTCTGTATTTGGATTTTTATCTTTTTGGCAAATTTCGCAATTTTGAATGATTTCGATTATATGACTTCTGATTCCTGGCCACCATATCGTCTCTCTGGCTCTTCCTAAGCATTTATTAATTCCTTGATGTCCTTTATGAATAGCTTCCAAACTTTTTCTTCTCAATGTTTTTGGGATTATTATTCGATCTTCGTATACTAACAAATTTTTTTCAATTTTTAATTTATTTGCGTATTTATGGTAACGTTTTAGCTGTTCTGGAATTTTATTTATTTTTGGCCAGCCCTTGGTAATGTATACTTTAAGTTGTTGAAAGTCGGGTTCTTCGTCTTGTTTCTGTTTTAAGTATTTTTCGTCCATTATTTGAGATGAAATTTCTTTGATTATTGCGTTGACATATACATCTATTTTAGGTTATTGTTGTAGGCAGTCAATGTCGACTTCTGGTTGATAAGTTGGGGCCCTTGATAAAGCGTCTGGAATGTAAAATTCTTTGCCTGAAACATATTCAATATTATAATTAAACTTAGACAATCTCATCCTGAACCGTTGTAAGCGGTTTGATAATTATTTGTTAATTTCTTTTGTTGCCAAGACTACGGTTAGTGGTTTGTGGTCCGTTCGGATTTGGAATTTAGCACCCAGTAGATACTGCTCTAATCTTTCACAAGCCCATGTTACTGCAAAAGCTTCTTTTTCTATTTGTGCCTATCTCTTCTCCGTGTCGTTCAATGATTTCGAACAAAAGTATACGGGTTGCCACACGTCCTTGGACTGTTCCTGTTCCAGCACCGCACTCAAGCCGTACGATGACGCATCGGCTGAGACTCTTGTCTTTTTCTTGATTGAAAATTTAGCTAACACTTTAGGAGATGCTATTTCATCTTTCAGATTTTTGAAATCTTTTTCATGTTGTTCGTTCCATGAAAATTGTCTATCATTCTTCAGTAATTCTCGTATTGATGTGGTTTTCTCTGCTACATTTGGTATAAATCTGGACATGTAGTTAACCATTCTCAAAAATGTTCTCACTTCGGTCGTCGTTTTCGGGTTTGGATATTCTTTTATAGCTTTTACACTTTTCGGGTCTGCTCTGATTCCATTTTCGTCCACCAAATATCCTAGATATGTTGTTTCCTTCGTCATGATTTCGCATTTGTTTTTGTTTAAGGTCAATCCTTTTTCTCTCAAAGTTTTCAAAACTTTTCTCAACGTTTTATCGTGTTCTTCGGTTGATTTTGCAACAATTAAGATGTCGTCAGCGTGTGCAACAATATTGTCGGATCTTATTTCTTTCACTATGTCGTTTATCGTTTTTTGGAATATTTCTGGAGCTGAACTAATTCCAAACGGTATTCGTTTGTATCTAAACCGCCCGAATGGTGTAATGAATGTAGTATATTTTCTTGAACTTCTTTTCAATTTCAATTGCCAGAATCCTCTGGAAAAATCTAGTTTGGTGAAAATGTTCCCTTCTTGAAGTTTGCTTAATGTTTCGTCCACTGACGGTAGCTGATATAACTCTCTTTTTACGCTTTTATTTAATTCGGTGAAGTCGGCGCAAATTCTTACTTTATCTTTATTTTGTGCAATTACCATCGGAGCGCACCACTCTGATGGTTTTTCTACTTTTTCTATTATGTCGTCTTTTTCCATTTTATATATTTGTTTTTCTACTTCTTTCATCAAATGAATTGGCACTCTACGTGGCACTGTTATTGTGTACGGTTGTGCGTTATCTTTTAAATTTATTTCATATGTAAAATTTTTGAGTAAACCGATACCCTTGAAAACTTCTGGGTACTTTTCTGTTATTTCTTTTTTATATTTGTCATTAGATTTTATTACATCGATTTTTCCTATTTTTATTTGATCATTTTTCCATAAAGCTATTTTTAATTTTTCTAACGTTGGTCGTCCCAACAGATTTTCGTTCGTGTTTGCTACAAAACACTTGATTGTTTCATTTTCGGTTTTCCATTTAATAGGTAGTGTTATTTTTCCGTAAACTTTCAATTGATTATTTTCATTTCCCGGTCCTACCAATTTTATTTTTGTTGGTTTTAATTCTAATTGTTCTTTAAAATTATTTTTAAATGTTTTATAACTTAATATCGATTCGTCTGCACCCGTGTCGATTTTAAATAATACTGGTATTTTATTTATTTCTAGTGATAATTCCCACGGTTCGCATTTTTCGACTTTATTTATTTTTACGATTCTTTGAAGTTCGTATTTTTCCGATTCATCGCTTGAACTATTTTCACTTTCTGTTTCTTTATTTTTAGCTACCGATTTTACCTGTTTTGTTCTTTTAGTCCTACATTCTTTTGCGAAATGACCCTTAAATTTACATTTCTTACAAGTTTGATTGAATGCCGGGCATTCCCCGTTTGTTTTTACGTGTTTTGTTACGTCACCGCATCTGTAGCATTTTTTTCGCGATATGCGTTTTTATAGTTCTTGGCGCCGCTGCCATCGGACTGGTTTGTTTGTTTCCAATTCGATTTTGTTCGAAGCCGGTCTACTTGGAGCCGCCCGTCTCGACGTCTGTCCTCGCGCAATTCCGAGTTTTCGTCTTTTACTCTTTCGTCTTGCGTAATTTTATCAATTGCTTTTTGTAATGTTAAAGATTCGTCCAATTGGAGATTTTCTGATAATTTATGGTTTTTAATACCGACTACTAATTTATCGCGTAGAAGTTCGCTTTCTAGTTGATCGTATTTACATGATTTTGCTAGATTCGTTAATTCACGGATATATTCCTCCGCTGTTTCGCCCTCGCGTTGGTTTCGGTTGTTAAATTTCGCCCTTGCATAGATTAGATTATGAGTTTTCGTAAATTTCTCATCTAGAAACTCTTTTAATTCATTATATGTTTTAAAACTTTCTTCCGTTTTAAGGTTTGTTTGTAAAAATCGCGTGATTTCTGCTCCTAAATGGAGGCACAACGAATTTATTTGAATTGTTTCGCTTCGCTTATCTAAGTTTGTCGCGACGCGGTATCTTTCGTAGTGTTTAAACCATACTTGCCATTCCTCTTTTATGAAACTGAATTTCTCCGGTACCGGAATGAAATTCGTAACCATGCTCGTCTCCGGCGTTTCTTCTTTTTTCTTTTGTTCTATAGTTTTCATTTTCTCGTGTAGTTTTTTAATTTCTTCTTTCAACGCTTCCATTTTAAGAATTCTTCTTTTATTCTTCCGAATTTAATCAGATCACTTTTTCTTTTTACTTTCCGAATTTAATCAGATCACACGTGGTTTTTAACCTGACACCATGTTTAGGTTAGGACGTCTGAATAACACCACTGGTTTAGCGTGACTCCATAGATAACTTATATAGATGTGACATTTACGTAAAATTTTTGTACACGGCACCAGCGCTCCGAACGGCTCGGCCCAATACTAATATTAAATAGCGGCTAACGTAATAAATCTAAAATTTAATATTTTCTAATTTTTTTGTGTGGAATTAAATAAAAAAATAAACTCATTTGTGGATTTTAATAATCTTTTTATTAAAATTATTATCATAAACATAAAGTCTTATTTTAATATAAAAGAACAATGACTATAAACAATGTGTAATGATTAATGATACACTGTTAAAAATTTTACGAAGTAATTTAACTCTTCAGTATAAGGTGAAATATTACCGCGAAAAAGTGATAAATTTACCTAAATTCTAATAGGTTGCAACACGTTTGAGAGTCAAAATAACTTTGTTAAAAGATGTTAAAAATACGGTGATAATCTGTTTATTCCTCACAGTGTAACTTTACACTTTATAATACCTTATACCCATTTCCATGTTGTAGCATTAAATGTGTAAGTTTGTATTTTAAATCAAACTTCGATCTTAATTTTATGTAGGGTTTTTAGGTTATCTCAAATAAACCAACACGTATTATGCAGTGTTTTACAACTGTAATTACAAGAAACAACAAAATAATTATAAGTACAATTCAAAGTATGCAGGTGATTATAACACCTTGTGTAACTACCTGAATAAACACAACTTGTCGGTTTAAACAATTTAACTAACCACCTGGTTTCCAACAAAAATCCACGAACTACAACCTCTCTCTCCGCGACTCCCTCTCGGTGTCACTAGACGAACCAAACCGGTACTGTCGATAACAGGGATCTTCAACACTATTCGTATGGTGAATGTACAGACCGTCTAGTTTGAAAGCGTCAAACTTACATCCCCCCTCCCCCCCCTGATGATGAAGTAGAGGATGAATGGTAAGGAACCAGCTTGTTTGCGTGATAAAAATTCGATTCTCCCTTCCTGCGATCGCTGTCTATAAGGTAAATCAAATCGGATATTTTCTTTCTTATCTTGTACGGTCCGGATCTAATCGGTTCTAATTTTTTTCTATTTAATTTACTCCCACTTACAATGTAAACCAAATCTTCTTCATTATATTTTAGGATACTGGAGTTTTTATCATAGTATTGTTTATTTTGTGCATGAGCTTTTTTCGAGTTTTCAAAAGCGATTTTCCTGTTTTCCGTTAAATTTTCCAAGTTGTTTTTAGTTAGTTCTTTCGGAAAGGAATTGTCAACTTGAAATTGACTGCTTAAAAAGTTGTCTCGTTGGTAATAATTTTCTTTTATTTCTTTAGAATGTTATACTCTGGCGCTGAAATTTCCTCTTATACATCACTGCTCTCCTGTATAAATGTTGGGCTTTTGGTGATAAGTCGTCTTGTTTGTGGACACCAACTTCCTCCAATAAACTCTCCCTTTGTTTAGCAGTCAAAAAATATCCAATAATGATCCCGATTAACGCTGTTTCCCCATTAAGCAGGGTTACCCTGTAATATGAAATCAAACTTTAAAAAAATTATACTACATTCTTTTGTAATAAAAGGGAAATTAAACGTTTTTTGAATGATGTTTCGTTTATTAATAAATAACTCTTATTAAGAGTTATATGCCATTATAGATAATTTAACCAGAGCTTTTCAAAATAAACGATTTATAAAACACATAATTTCTTACCTGAAATCTCCAATGAGATTGCACTGGTGGATATTGAAACAACCTAAAGTCCCATATCTGCATGTGGAGTAGTGGGCGTGTTATTCGAAGCACTTGAAGTAGTGACTTCTAAGTACTGATATCCTACATGTGAAAAAAAATATGCCTCAGTCCTAACAACATTTTGATAATTTTATACACATACTGGCAAATTTAATGATGGTACTACTCCTTTCAACAATTTGTTGTTACGTCCAACATCCTCTCGTCGAAAAGGCTTATCACAAACTCGAAAATTATTATAAACCCTCAAGTGTTCACACTGAAGCAGGTTTTCTCGCACACAACATAAAACCCATCTTTGATATA